CGTGTCTTTCCAAATTAATTCTGCAAAATCTGCCCAGTTGCCTTTGCGGTTCAGTGTCAAGCATGTGTCTTGTATTTCGAAGCACAGGGTCCAGGCCTTTTGTGACGCCCACAGCTACTAACGTGGGCATGGACGCCAAGCATGTGTGAGGAGAGAGAAGGTGCAACAGGAGGAAGGCGCCCGCCTGGCAAGGCCTCCTGACCTCATGCCCATCTGACTCTGACTTCGTGCTTCAAAGAAATAAGCACAAGGTCCTCATTTTGTAAGGAAGAGAACAAATAAAGGTAAACAAAATGAAAGATGTCATTGATGAAGGAAGCCCAAAGGGAATTCCCACCAGCCCTCCTACAGCCAGCCTCAGCAGGAAGGTCGCTACAGTGGGCTGATTGAGGAGTGACCTCCTCTTCTGGCCTTGGCCCCATCCCTGCTTGGAAAGTAACCACCTGGCTGTGGATCACAGTAAGTGGCCACCAATGGAGTTGTGTGCAGGGTCCCAGAGGCAATGCATTAAGGGAAGAAAGGAGCTATAATGCACTTCAGGGCTGTCTCTGCAGGTGGGGAGAATTGAACACCTGCTCTGTGGGAATGGGGTGACCTACTCCAAAAGACAGAAGAGGCCAAGGTCAAAGAAAATCATCTTCAAATCTCTGAAGTTCTGTGTTGGAGAGTTTTAACTTAACTTACCTGACCTCAAAAGGGAGCATAATGTCCAAGTGTGTGGAAGATTCTGGAAGACAAGCTCTGATAAAATATGAGGAAGATCTTTCCACCAATCTGTAATATCCCATAATGGACCAGGCTCACCTGACATAGGAAGAATTTGCATGGAACTATTTGGAACAGATGTCTATGAGGAATGTAAGCACAGTGCTGTTCTGATGTCCTCTGAGGTCCTTTCCACCTGGATATTCTGGGTCAAGGCAGATCTTTTGCCACTATGCTTAGCCACAAGGCCCTATCCCTAACCAGCTGGCAGTGATGGGCAGCAGGGAACTGCAGAAGACCCCAGCAACTACAAAATGAGGTGGGGGCACAAGGAGGAGAGAAATAAGGGAGAAGGGGGTAGAACAGAGTTGGGAGGAGGTCTCATAAGTGACTATGGACCATTGTGAGCCACTGTGCTGGGTAGCCCTGTGTGTTCCTTCTCATCATCTCTCTGATGTGGGTACAGTCACTAGTTTACAAATTAGGAGACTGCTCAGATGACATGGATGCTCTAGGGCAAGGCTGGACCACAGTCCAGGCTACATGGACTTGCCCCTCCTGGCCCCACCTGACCTCCTGTCATTATCCCCATGAACCACAGAGAGCACACAACACACATCACTGTGAGACAATCTTTCTTTAGCCATCCTTGTCTCAGGTAGACATCAACATACCCAAGGGGCAGAGGTGACCCAAGACCACATCCTGCTTTTTCACTATATCTAGTGTCAAAGCCATCCTGCATAACATGGGACCAAAGAAACCCCCTCTCCCTTGCTAATGGGTCACTGGCTTCTGCCCTGTCAACTTCCAAGGATCCTGGCTTGCTGTTGGGTAAGAGTTTAACTGAACACCTGAACCAGTTCTTGTCCTCTAGTGGGGAGAGCTGAGAAAGTGAGTGTAGACACAAGCAGCCTTCCTCCATGCCTCCAGAAGATAGCAGCCTGGGGACAATATTTATTTACATTGCAAAGGAACCTGATAAAAGATTGAGAAATACTTATGGTATTAATTACAATAATCATCAGATTATGTGGATTAGATGATCAGTCACCATAGGATCAGATTAGCCCCTTATCATACTTATAAGTATAGCACCAACTCCCCACCTCCCCCCACCACAAATGGAAGTGATAGTGCACAAGAGACCAGATTCAAATTGTAACTCTGAGTTAGTTGTATCTTACACCACCCCCATCCCCTCATTCTGTAGTTTCTCTCATCTAGTTGTTCAACTGTTTATGGCTTTGCTGAGGAGTCTAGTCTGTCACCTGCCAAGGATGGATGTTACAGTAGCCATGCTGTGGGCTTTGCCCCTATGTTTGTAGTCAATGGAAAATTGTTGATGGCAGGCAAACGATTGCTGTAAGGAATATGAGCTTTTACCTTCTCCTTATCTGATTGATTACTGTAAGTAATTCATAGTGAATTTCAATATCCTTTCTCCTTGGCAAACTACACTCATTTTTGCCTCTCACCTGGTGCCCTCTTGCTCACAGCATGAAGATCTGGTGTCTTGAAGTGGATCATGTCAATGAGTCAAATCCAGGGTGCAGGTATTTTTAAAATGTGCTAGTAAGTGGCAGTCAGGATCACCTCTGGGTTCCTGGGATTGGAGTCAAGTGTCATGACCTTGGTCACTTTTTAAGAGCTCACTCTACTCTATCAGCATTTCTGGTGAATGAGGGGAGGCAGAGGAAGGGAGCACCCCAGCATCAGAGTCTGACTCCTCCTTAACTGGCTAGCTGACACTGAAGAAGTTCCTATTCCGCTCTGATCCCCAATGTCCTTGACTGTGAAAAAGGAGCATTCACATCAGCACCCAGGGATGTTCTTCAGATTACAGGAGAGAAGTCACGTGAACACAGCACCTCAAAGACGGTGTGGAGCAGGACACGTGCTCCAGAGATGGAGCTCCCTCTTCCCCCTCTTCCATGCCATGCTCGCAGCCACGAGCAGTGGTGCTCATTAAGTCCAGCTCTGGTTTCCATCATCAGTTCCCTGGGGTCAGAGAAGAGGCTGGAGGTGGAGGTTGTGGTGCTAAGACCAAAGCCACAGCTGGGCATGTTTGACTCCTAGGAGAAACCACAGACCACCTCAATCTCTTCATGTCAGCCACTGCAATGGTACAGACCTCTATCATGTGATGGGCATCAAAGAGGAAGGGGTCCTGGTTCTGGTCATCCTGGAGGGGACAACTAGGTCCAACAGGTAAAGATTGTACAGGGATGGTCACCAGTGTTATCTAAGATGGAACTTCCCCATTAGATAGAAATGTTGGGACAATGAAGCTGGCAGTCTTCAAGTTCAAATGGCTGTGTGTGTTGAAGATCTTACTGAGGGATCCATACATTTGACAGAGGTTGGTCTAGGTGGTAACTGGTCTCTGCTGATTCTTTCTAGCTAGGGGATTAACGTTCATGGTGTTCAGCATCTTTGTTCAGATGATTAGATCACACTGCAGGGTTGCAGATCGCAACTTTTAATGCAATATTGTGTTGCATGGAGTTCTGACATTCCTTTAAGATGATTTTAAGAGACATTTAGGAGATAAACATGATTCGAAGTTAACAAAAGAATGACCAAACACTTAAAAGAGAGACGAGATGCCCACAGGGATCATAAAAAAAGCTGTAACCTATTCCTGGGAATCTAGAGAGAGCAGGATTTACCTGGGGCTCTTGATGTTCATGCCCATTGGTATTCCTGGCTTGCCAGCTTCTCCAGCACCCAGTCAGTTTATGGGAGGCAGAAAGAAAACCCAGGGAGGAAACTCACCACCGAGTCTTTGGGCCTAGAGGTCCATAACCAGTCGGCCTTCTTTCTACTGTTGCATCTCTTACCACTGGTTCCTGAACAGTATCCAGGGATTTTTGTTGTACTGGGTGGGAAGAATAACGAAAAGTGCACCTACTCCATTTTCCCTGGAAGCAAAAGTTAAACATGTACTTTTCTTGTTTAACATTGTCTTATCTTTTTGCTGGTTGGTACTATTTCGTTATCTTCCCTTTATTCTATCAACGATTTTCTATTTTTATTTGAAAACTATCTCTGCATCTAGCGAGTTCCTCAGGCATGGACTGGAATATGTTTCAGATTCACGGCCACGTGAAGCCACGAGCCTCATCTTGCATAAATGCTTCCGGCACCTGCAATGGCCACAGAATGAGCCACAGCTTTCCAGAAGTCTGGTGTTCCCTGAAGATGAGATCCCTATTCTCTGCAGCCTACCCCTGGCCTTGAATAGTCATGATACAACCAGAAATGTCATCCATTCTTGTTGGTTTTATTCTGTTTTCTACTGAATAATCAGTGGATATAATTGCTGATGAGCTTTGTCGTTATACCTTTTGTGCCAGAAATATACTCCCCCAAACCCTTGGATCTACAGAGTTTAACCTACTCACTTAGCCAGTGGCAAACTGGGGCCAGCAGAGGTAGTGATCCTCCCGGCCTGATGTCACTCAGCTGAGCGCCCTTGTGAGCCAATGAAGGTGCAACAGATGTTGACAGGGGCCCAACAGGCACCTGCTTCTTGCTTTTTCAAGAAAACCAAGACGCTCAAAGCTGCAGCAAGGAAGAGGATCCTCAGGAGCCACTATTTTTAGACCCAGGCTATCATACCCACTGACTGTTTGACAGAAGAAAGAAAGAAAGAAAGAAAACTGGATTAAATTTCTGGTATTTTAAATTGAAGATTTGTTAACAGACCTCCTTCTCTATGGGGCAGCTTCCCGCTAGAGTAAGGATCCTTTTGCACACCAGGAAAGATGGGCTGCTTGTCTTGTGTCTGGATGCACCCAACCCCATTCTAAACCACAGGCTATCCAGAAATATCTAGGACCAAAGAAGAATGAAGATACTCTGACCGGCTTTTGCACTTGACCTGCACGTGCAGTGAACATTTTCTTCCTTCCTCACCAGTGGGTCAGGGGATGGACACCTCAGGGTTGAAAAGCAAGACTGCCAGATAGGCATTCTTTAAAATCTTTAAATAAGCAGAATTATAAAATCTGGGGGAAAAAAATCAAAACAGGCAGCCACAGCATGGGATCCCTAGTGTACTTGCTGTTGTTTGTAGAATGAGGCCCGGGGTAGAATTTGCAAACCGCTTTGCAGACAAGAGCTCTGACCCAAGACCATGATTCACGTTACACTAGGCAAATGCGTGTCCATTCTCTGTAGCACCTTAGAGAAAAGGTTGGCTGTGTGGGTGACATACGAATATATTAATTTCCCAGACACTGAGTTGACTAGGGAAAGATTAACAGGTCTGCGATACGTGAGGGTTCTCTGATTTCTCCCCGAGTGATACAGAGGAGGGATTGTTTGTGGTGCAGGTATGAGGTAACACAAATTTGCCAAGAGTGATGTTACAACAAACACTACATCTGGCCCTGTTGCTTGCTCGGGGCGTTTCGGGAGAGCAGCAGGACGCACGTCCCCCGGAGGAGGGCACGGTTGGAAATTAGCCTGAGCAAGGAAAGGTCTGGATCAAAGGCTGGTCACTTTCTAAAGTCAGCTCCCTCCCACCATTTGACTCTTGTGCTGAGCTGGCCACAGCCTGGATCGGGACACTCGTAGCAGCCCAGGGAAAAGCATCAGGGCTTCTCCTGTCTCCAGTAATAATGCCAACTGTGGATGACATTTTAGAGCACATCGGGGAATTTAACTTCTTCCAGAAACAGACATTTTTCCTCTTAGCTCTACTCTCTGCAGCGTTCACCCCCATCTACGTGGGCATCGTCTTCCTGGCTTTCACCCCAGATCACCGCTGCCTGAGCCCCGGGGTGGCCGAGCTGAGCCGGCGATGCGGCTGGAGCCTGGCGGAGGAGCTGAACTACACGGTGCCCGGCCCGGGGGCTGCCGGCGAGACCTTCCCCGACCAGTGCCACGGCTACGAGGTGGACTGGAACCAGAGCGGCCTCAGCTGCGTGGACCCGCTGGCCGGCCTGGCCGCCAATAGGAGTCACCTGCCGCTGGGGCCCTGTCGGCACGGCTGGGTGTACGACACGCCCGGCTCGTCCATCGTGACCGAGGTAAGCGCGAGCAAGCTTTGCATTAGGAAAAAGCCAACAGAGTAGCTTTTCTTAAGGAAGAGGCCGGTAGGGCCTGGTTCTTAACAATGTCTGGACATGCTCTTTGGACTCAGAGGATCTTATAAAATCCTAGTTTCCAACAAAAACATGCAGCCTCTTATTTGCCTGGCATATAGGTGAGGTAGTTAAATTTCATCAAATTCTGACAATAATGATTCCAGAGCATGCAAGTTTCAGGGGTAAGAAACAAGCAAAAGCAAGCAGAATTCCTGGAAATAATTCCAGGGAAAGGAAAGTTGTCAAGCCTCCTCTTTTGTTTCTGGAAGCCCCCCGTTCTGGCAGCTGTACAGCAGATGGACAGGTGAGCGCTCATGGAACTCACCTGAACGTTGCCTCACTGAGACAGATGTTCTTCCCTTGATGGCTGTTTTGCTCTCTTTGATTTGCTCGAAACGTTTGCATAAAACCATCCCGGGCTGGAGCTTTTGCTAAGGCACTAATTCCTTTATTAAAAACTCCAGTTGACATTAGCATCTCATTATGAAGCCTCATTTTGATAAATATAGAGAAAACAGCCCAAAAAATGGAGGCCTGCTTTTCTTGGAGACAAAGCAAAATGGGAGGGTACAATTATTCTAAAAATCCAGAGAAAGCCAGCTGCCTGGCTTAATTTAAAAGGAGCGCTTGGGTAATGGGAAGACGCTCTGTCTGAACAGACTTTTAGGTAGAGAAGCTTCTCTTCAGGGGTCCAACAGTTACATGAAACCATAGGCCTGGGTCAGAGATAGAACACCGTACAATTTAAAGAGGCTGTACAGCAGGGCTTAATCTCATCCCTTCGTGCAGAGACGAGGAAGCTGAGGCCCAGAACAGAGAAAAATTCTGCCCAAGGCCACATAGTGCGAGCTAGCAGTTTGCCCTAGAAATCGGATCCCCCCACTTCCGGCCCAGCACCTGTTCTTCCTTCAACATTGCCTCTTGTTCCAAATGAGAGCAAATGTAAGAGCCTGAGAAGACGCTTCTGCTTCCCCTGCCATTAAAGAGACAGCGAAGAGAAGCTGAACAGTCCAGCTTCCTCGGGGCAGTATCTATATCCTCTTTACACACCCATTTGCTTCTGGGTATTAAAGTTAGAAAGGAAAGGTGTGGAGCACCTGGGTGGCTCAGTCGGTTAATCCTCTGCCTTCCGCTCGGGTCAGGAGCTCGGGGTCCTGGGAGGGAGCTTGCTTCGGGCTCCCTGCTCAGTGGGGATCCTGCTTGTCCCTCTGCCCCTCCCCGCTTCTCTCTCTCAAATAAATAAATAAAATCTTTTTAAAAAAGAAAGGGAAAGTGGAGTATTCACCTTGTATGAGCTGATTTAGCCAACAGAATTTGGCTTAACGACGCACGTCCAAAGAGAATGCTAGATAAATTGTGGGACAAATCTTCAGATTTGTCTGAAGAAAATTTATATAAGCAAGAGAAGAGTTCTTGGCTTTCTGCCATGCCATGCAGCAGGAATACTCAGTGAGTTCCTGGGGCTGAGTTGTATCCAACAGGACTTTGTTTTCTCTGCTGACCCGGAAAACCTTTCACCCCTCTGCAGTTTAACCTAGTGTGTGCCAATTCCTGGATGCTGGACCTGTTTCAGTCGGCTGTGAATGTAGGATTTTTTATCGGCTCTGTGGGTATCGGCTACCTCGCAGACAGGTAGGTGCCCTGCGAATGTGGTGGAATTTTGAGTCCTCCTCTGGTCTGGGAAGCACTTGGATTCACCTGCCCCTGCTTGAATAGTATCCTTTCCTCAAGCATGAAGACCGCAGTTGCCTGGCCTTGTGTCAGCCATCTTGACAATTTGCAATTTCTTCTCCTGCTTCCATCAGCACAACCGATGCGAATATTTTCTAGTTCTCTGGGGTCGTAGAGGACCATTTCTATCTTAGGCATCAGTTTTTCTTTGTGGGCTATCCAGAGTCCTAGGGTTGGAAGGGAAAGTCATTGATGACTTGATCCTTTTTGTGATTCCCAGTTCATTGGCCTCATCCTCATCATCCCCGTCTGTGAGCCTGTGGGGTCCCTGAGCTCTCTCTCCTCTGCCTGCTGCTTCTATTCCCAGAGCCAATATAGACTCTCCCTGTGGGTGTCCCTGCCTGGCCCTTGGCATTGCAGGAGTCCTGAACTGGGGCCCGGGCTCCAGATGTAATTATAGGTGTGGAACCCAGACACAATCTGGTAAAAGGGAAACTGGGTCCATCTGCACTGACAGATGTAAATATCCACGCCCACAACGTCAGTGTCCCTGAAGAAAGATGAGGAAAGACCTCTCTGTGTAGAACATATAGCAAATGGTCCTCTTAGATGTTCTGTGTCTTCAGGGAGCTAGTTTTCAGTGAGTTGTGTGAATCCATTTGTGCCTTTATGTCTTACTTATCCATCACTTTGTAATCCCAGATTCACTGCGCTGAAAGTTCCTTATAACAGGCATCTTTACCAGGTAGATGGTCAATTAGATATTTTGAGGAAAAGGGAAAAGAACAGAAAAATTTGCTTTGTAGTTGATACTTTAGCACTCATAATACTATTTAGTGGGTGTTGTCCATGTGCCAGGCACCGTGCTCAACTGTTTGGACAGTATCATTTTCTTTAATAACCAGTCACCCAGGAGATTGTTATATAGAACTATAGAATAAATGTATATAGTCTAATTTATTTAATACATTTATATTTATTACAAGATAAATTTTCATTTATTACAAAATATAAATATACATTTAATTCTGAAATAAATGGCAAATACACTTTATGCTTGTTGCTCTCCCCAACTATATCTGTGATGCAAATAAACCCAAACCTATGAGCATTATATTAAATGTAAATCGAATATTTTCTTTGACTCCACTGTATTTTCAGGATGGCGGAAAACTTGCAACTGAGTTAAAGATTAATAGCAATAGCTTAATCTATCCTCTCCCAGGAGCATCTGCAGTTTCACAACCTGCCCACCTCACCACCCCCCTACCACCTCCGTGGCAGCAGAAGGCCATTGAGGCCACTGGGCCACAGGGCAGCTCCATCCTCACATCCTACATGACACTTCTTTACTTCTTTAACTGTCTGCTTAGCCTGCCTTCAAGGGTTCTTCCTGGGACTTTGTGTGGGAGGCTTGTGAGGTAAAGGGGAAGGTCATTGGTTTTATTTTTATTGCCCCACAAGTGAGGTCTGTGGTTTGGAGATGACTCTGTTAGGAGTTAGGAGAGCTGCCGGCAAGGGGCAGTCCAGAGTCTGCCTTGCTCCGCAGTGTCTGTCTGGCCGGTTGGCTCCTCACCCCCTCTCCTCTCCCTCGTTCCCTGCAAGGCGGAGATACTAACACTCAGCTGCCAGGATGGAAGTGAGCAAATAAGTGACTGAGCCTCATGGCTGGTTAAGTAAATGAGTTAATTATTCTCATCCCACTCAAGGAGTAGGAGACCGGTTATAATTCCCCACTGACAGTGCATTCCTGATTTACAAACCTCAGTCAATTAACCACCCTCTTGGATGACCTCATTATTTTGTTCCTATTGTTGAAATATCCTATGCAAAGCTGATGACTCATTATCCTTCCCCAAAAAACGATGTCCAAAACTCCGTTTCTTTTTCTTAAATTGTCTGACGTTTGGGTGGTTGTTGCCTCTTCTTTTCTCTTCTGCTCGTGTATGCATGTGAGAGTGGGCAACAAGACAACAGCCAGAGGGAGAAAAAGAAAGATCAAATTATCTTTTGCATACTCAATGCCTATTTCTGGACAATATTCAGATTTTTTTATTAACATATAATGTATTATTAGCCCCAGGGGTACAGGTCTGTGAATCGCCAGGTTTACACACTTCACAGCACTCACCATAGCACATACCCTCCCCAATGTCCATAACCCCACCTCCCTCCAATATTCAGATTTTATACAAGGGTGTAAGAATCTCATGGAAGCTCATTTTATGCTGCAGATTAAACTAATATTAAACAAAACAGATTGTCTTTTATGATGTTTTCAAAACATATGAACAGTGATTAAGGTAGCTTTAAGAAGAAAACCAGAAGGATATTATGAAAAGGTTGTAAATAAGGACACTGAGGTTTACACCATGTCAACTTTCTGAAGGTCAGTTTATAAATAGACTGAAGGGAGAAAGAATGGGAATGTGGTAGAGAATTTGAAAATAAACCTTTTATAATATATCTCATTGATGTCATCATTCAAACTTCCTAAGGAATTTTTTTGTAGTATCACCTGACACAAAAAAGTAATCTCTCACAATTCCAGATTTGTTACTCCACTGATCAGTAATTATATGTTCTGTATTTAGTGGCATACCTGTAAAAGTTTAATGCCTGGCTTCCTGAGGGATAAAGCCCTGATGTATAGCACTTGCTGATTTCCATGGTGTATATAATCCCACCATGGTAATTTCTAGCTACCAAATTGAGGTCACTGAACACAGACTTGGCTAGAAATATGCACCATTTTATAGTATTTCCACTGTACAGCTACAACAGACAGAGGTAAATAATCTCATGAGCATAGATTATGTTCAAACATGGTAAAATAATTAGGAAGCAATGTTTTTGCATATTTATTACACATGTTTTTAATATAAGTGCATGATAGAATTTTTAACAATGATTCTGTTTAACAATTAGCTGTCAAGTTTTCTGAAAGCCTAATAATCAGCTCTCAAGAGCCAGCACCCTCTGTCTATATTTCATGATGGAACTAGATCAGAGCATAATCAGAGTCCCAGAGGGTCATCATCAAACTTACCCAATTATCTGAAATCTTCCAAAATAAGCTCTCCACCACTGACTATGTGCCAGGCACTGTACTAGGCATCCTGATGTGTTCTATGTCATTTAGGATCCTAACAGCCTTTTATTTTTTATTTATTTACTTACTTTTAATTTAATTTTTTTTCAGTGTTCTAAGATTCATTGTTTTTGCACCACTCACAGCCTTTTAAAAATAATATTCTTATCCCCAATTTGCAGATGAGGAAATTCAGTGAAATGAAAGTGGTTCTTCCCAATTTAAGTGTGCATATAAACCCCTCAGATCTTGTTAGAACTCAGATTCTGATCCAGTGGGTCTAGAATGAGTCCAAGCCTGTGTTGAGCCACTCCCCGGTGATGCTGATAAGCCCTGGGCCACGCTGAGTAGCAAGTAGCTAATAGACTTATGAAGCCAGCAGTACTGGAATCCACCCCTCTCCCCTGTTTTATCTCTTTGTTTTTCATTTAATCACTTATGTGGTTCTGCTGTGGGGAGAAGAAGTCTCAAAATGCAATCCCAGATCTCCAACTCTTCTTCCAGCCATTCCATATTTTCGTAATAACATTATGTCCTTATTTGGAACATGTCCCCCGCTGAAGTTATTTTGCATCATAGATTTGATTTTCTGAAGGTTTCCATATTCTGAGTTTGCGATGGTAAATATACTCTCTTATCAGCCACAGGATTTTATTCATCTACAGGAGCATGACAAGTATTGTATGCCCAAGTCAACTTTGGAAGCTAGAGAGCTAGCCCCTGAGCAAATGTTTATAAACTCCTAAAGGGTAAAGGAAGGGGTCTGGTGGGAGAAGATGAGAAGAAAGGCTAAAATACTTTGTTGAAATGTGACTTGGGAAGTCTAAATTGAAGGCCAAGGAGGCAGGGGTGCCTAGGTGACTCAATCAGTTAAGCTCTAACTCCTGGTTTCAACTCAGGTCATGATCTCAGGGTCGTGAGATTGAGACCCACATTGGGCTCTATGCTCAGTGCAGAGTCTGCTTGTGTCTCTCCCTCTGCTCCTCTCTCTGCTTGCTCCCTCTCTCTCTTAAAAAAAAAAAAAAAAAAGGCCAACGAGGCAGATGTTTATAGTAAGGAACCATAAACTGAAAATTAAGAAATGAATGGCCAAAACGGGTCTTAAAAGTTTATCAATTTACATTAATTACTCATGAGACTGCGTGATCTCTAAATTTCAGATTTAAAACATTCACATCCCAAATAATTGTTAATGATGTTGTGGATTATATTCACATAGTCAGTTAATATTGAAATGGTCACTAGAACAAAGTTGCCTCCAAGCAGAGCAACTAATTTAAAAATGTTCATCCACCATCAAATGCGCAAAGCAAATGACATAAAACATGACTCTTCAGTTTGAAGTAGATAAGCAAGGATTAAATAAAACACTGGTTTCTATGAAGAATCTTTGAAATATCCATTAATGGCCAATTAGGCCAATTGGAACGAAACAAGGTGGACATGATGACGATATGAACAAGTTGTCCCAAGTCAAGTTTTAGAGACCCTGCTTTACAGATAGAAGGCAGGAAATGGGGGAGACCAAGTGTCTAGTTCTTTACATGTAGTATCTCACTTAATCCTCTTGTCAGCTGAGTCAGATAGGTCTTTACCAGATGAGGAAATGAAAGGTTGAGTAATCGGCCGATGTCATAGTAAGTAGTAAAGCCAAGATTCAACCAGATCTCTAAGTTTTCCCCTTCTCTGTGTCCTGGTACACTCTCCAGGTCCCTCAGCTGATGAAACCCAAGTCTCTCTGACTGAAGGTGTGGTAGAAGCTACCTGCTGGGGTACTTCATGACAAAGACCCCCAACTCCCACCTCACAGCTAACACCAGAGTCCTTTTCCATGGAGATGGGCAAATACCACAAAGTCCAAAAGCAGTGTTGAAAATGGATGGGGGATTACATTAACCACCGAATTTTCTTTTTCCTCAAGTAAAAACTTCTCTTGGGTGGGCAGTTGGTTGAGACTGTTAGTGCAAAGGCCCAGCTGCTATGATGATGGAAGACCCAGACGGACCCTTAAGGCATTCAGCACTGGGTGGCCTGGAATAATCACCTCCTGCCTGAATACCCTCCACAGTGTGGGACTGAGAAGTTTCGCTAGCCCTGGGGTGAATGGGGCTCGTTGTGAATAGAATTTTCACAGAGTGCCCTGGGAAAAGTATTGAAGTGAACTGACCTGAAGTCAGTGATTCTCTTGGTGGGCACCAGTCCGAGCCTCCTGAGTTTGAGTAATTCAGAGCTAACCACCCCTTAAGATTTCCATAGCTTCCATGCCATTTTCTACAATCTTCACGAATCTAATCTAATTCTGTGTTCTCTCTTTCTCTCCCTTGCAGGTTTGGCCGCAAGCTCTGCCTCTTGGTCACGATCCTCATAAATGCTGCATCTGGAGTTCTCATGGCCGTTTCCCCAAACTATACATGGGTGTTAATTTTCCGTTTGATCCAAGGGCTGGTCAGCAAGGCAGGCTGGTTAATAGGCTACATCCTGAGTAAGACTTGCTTGTGGCTGTGGCTGTGGGAACAAAGCCACATTGCTGTCAAAACGCTCAGGAGACCGGAGGGGGCTGTGCCAAAAAATGGACCCCGCCTCAAAAAAATGCTGAGAGATTTTCTTTTTTTCTGTATCAGAGGATTTCTAAAATCTTTTCAGTCAACACATTCTGCATTCTTCCCCTAAAGAAAGCAATGAAGGCAGAAATGAGGGTAAACATCATACCACCCAGAATCTAATATAACTTCTTAGGAAAAGGTTTTCTGTACCCTGGGGTGTTACACAGAGAGAAAATCTAGCCTACTGTGCCTGAACATAAAGAAAATTCGCAGTGAGAGTTATGTCAGATTTACAAGGGACTTTATTGCTTTGCATAAATGGATTCTAGGAAGTCACTCTTACCTCAAACTATATGCACCGTAAGGGAGAATATGAGCTCTGTGGGGAATCTAAGTTCCCCAGCCACTTGTCTGTCCAGGAACCACTTACTGTAGCCAGAGTTATGCAGGAGCTCCATGGAGTATAGGAGAACATTTGAATCCTAACAGCATAGCGTCGTTAAAGCCATATTAAGAAAAATTAGCATCCTAATTAGATCTTGGGAATGAATTCTATCTTTCCCTTGGTAACATTCAAATAGCATCCATATGAAAGGAAATGGATGCTTTGAAATTGAAATCATCACCATCATAAAGGCTTCATTATCCATGAGAGCTAGAATACGTGTGCTTAAAATTGTACGTGGTAAAGGTAATCCAGGGAACTCTGTGAGATGCAGAAGGAGGATGCTGGAGGCTATTATGAGCTGTCCTGGTAGGCATCTAATCTACATGAGGGCAGCAAAGAAATTAATGTACAGTTATTCAATCAATAATTTGGTTTTTAGAACACATGATGGGTGGAAATATGTATAAATTAATTGTATAAATTTCAGCCTTCTGCCCATTAATTTCCCCTCCAGTCCTTCTGAATGTCCTTAAGGTACAACTTGCTGTTTGACCTTCTACCCCACGACCCTCAGACCCTGTCCATGACTCCAACCACTTCAAGATATTTCTACTTATTGAGCTCTTACAGACTTTTGTTTAACTCTGTTTTAAATACTTTTTGATCATTTGCAGTATTATATGGAAATATTTTTCAGGTGCATTTCTATATGATTTATAAATAGTTGAAGTCTTTAACATGATTACTGAACGTTTAAACCCAAAGGTCTGTGGCTCATGGAATACTTGGAATTTAAATTCTAATATGTTTGTGATATAGAAATGACTATCCCATAGATCCATGTACTGTGGACTTCACACATCTGTCAAGGAGCAGTCATGGAATGGGAGAAAGCTGATTATTTTACCACCTGCAGTGGGGTGCTGATAACTGGCTTTTGGAAAATAAAACCCCTGATTTTTGGTGTTGTCTGATTTCAAAATTGTAAATACCCCCACCATAACCCACTTTAAAATACAAATGGGCTTAATAACAAACTTGCAAAATTCCTGGAAATTTATTTATTTTTTTTAAAGATTTTTTTATTTATTCATTTGACAGATAGAGATCACAAGTAGGCAGAGAGACAGGCAGAGAGAGAGGAGGAAGCAGGCTCCCCGCTGAGCAGAGAGCCTGATGCGGGGCTCGATCCCAGGACCCTGGGATCATGACCTGAGCCAAAGGCAGAGGCTTTAACCCACTGAGCCACCCAGGCGCCCCTGGAAATTTAAAAATCAGTTCTTGCAAGCCAGTACCAGCTAACCAATCAGTATGGAAACCCACTAAACCCACCACCAGGTTTCCAAGCCATTTACACACATGATCATGATTGTCCAGAGAATATTTAACTCATATAAGAAAATGAGTTATATTGAGATGTTCACCTACATTAAAACCACCTACAGTCTCAAGTCAATGTTGGATCCCTTTATTCAGGTCTTAAACTACCATTGCCTTCTTACTCTAGATCAAACTTTTGCAAATAAAAACAACTGGATTACTTTTTTTAAACAGGCAAAGACAATTCAAAAAAAAAAAAAACTTTGGATTGCTTCAGAAAATTTTTTTGCACATATCCGAAATCCAGTTGCATTAGCCCTTGAAATTATTCTCTAAATCAAACATTTTGCTCACACTGGCAGTCCTCTCACCCCACCCAATGTGGAATTACAAGATCTTATATTAATTGATGTGACAGCAATAAAAGAACCCAAAGAACATTTAAATTTTTGGAAAGTTGTTTTAAAAAATTCTAGAATTTGGTCTCTTTTTTGAGGTTGGCATGCTAGTCTCCCCAAGGCTGGACAGCCAACTCATTGCCATACCGACTTGACTGACCATCTGGGCTCTCTCTGCAGTTACAGAATTTGTCGGGCTGAGCTATCGGAGAACAGTGGGCATTGTTTACCAAGTGGCCTTCACCGTCGGGCTCCTGGTGCTGACTGGTGTGGCTTACGTGCTTCCGCACTGGAGGTGGCTGCAGCTCACTGTTACTCTGCCCAACGTCTGCTTTGTGCTCTATTACTGGTAAGCGCACTTGGAACAAAAAAAAGAAATAACTTGAACTATTTCATTTACTGGGAAGGCTGCCTCCCTTAATGCACACCATCCTTCCAAATTCCAAGGTGTCCTTCACTCTTTCCTTTCATGAAAAGCCCAGGTCCATGTTTCAGGGATAAAAAAAAACAATAACAAAACCACAAACGCCAGTGGGTCTCCCTCTCTGGAAATTGAATGTCCTTTTACTTTGAGCTTAAGAATTTTAGATCTGAATCTTTTCACATTATTTATGTGGTGTTTATTTTATTTTTTTGAAGATTTACTTATTCACTTTTGAGAGAGAAAGAGTGCACATGGGGTAGAGGAGGGGCAGAATGGGAGGAAGAGAGAGAATCTCAAACAGACTTCTCGCTGGGCTCAGAGCCCAATGCAGGGCTAGATTTCATGACCCTGAGGTCACTACCTGAGCCGAAATCAAGAGTCGGACACTTAACCGACTGAGCCACCAAGGTGCCCCAATTTATGTGGTGTTTCAATTAACTTCTAGTGACTGTGGTGCCCTTGGCAGAGATTGACAATGTTAGTATTCTTATTCTGTCCCAGGGGAGACTTTAGTGTAAGAGAAGATGGAGTGTGGCACTGTGTCACCACTTCTCTACATCCCTGCCCAAGGCAGACATCGCAATCAATCCCAGTCCCAATCCCAGATCAGACCAATATGGCACCCCAGACAGACCATGCCAATCAGAATCATCAAGGCATATGAAATACATTTGTTACCCCTGCTGAGGGACCATGGAAGCAGTGGAAACAGCAGAAACTATCAGAAATCCCTAATGCGAGGTTACCTGAAATAAAGCAAGATGGATGCTGGGTTATCAAGCAAATCCCTCTCCCTTGCAACAAACTACTTTCTGGATGTATCCACCTGTTCTTCCCATAGTTGTCAAGAATTAAGTACCTCAACTCTTCCAGGAAGCCTGTCTCCTCCAAAAGCTGGTCAAACTCTGAGACCAACACTTACGCCCCTCCCATATCCATTCTTCCTCATTTATGGCTCTGAAGCCACCCTGCAATGGACTCTTTCTGGTTTCTTAGACATTTGCTCTTCCATCCTCCAATCCATGTTTCATGCTGCATTTCCAAAATCCAGATCCACCATGTTCCTCTCCTGCCCTCAAAGTCTTTCAACAGTTTTATTTCCCTGATGCTTTAGCACAACAGAAAAGACACACACATTATCTAAGTTCTGACCACCTCTGGAGCCTTCCCTTCTTACCATTTTTACTCAACAGAATCAAATTTAATTTACTTACAAGTCTGCAACCTCCATGATGCAACCACATTATTAAAAGATCACCGGCGATGTAGAGTAGAAAACAGGTGTTTGCAGGGAAGAGTGGGGATAAAGAGATTAGGTAAGGGACTATTGCCATAATCCTTGTAAAAGAGGACAGGACCTGAATTAAGGCGAGTGAAGGAAACTGTAAATACGTTTCATCAGGTAGCAATGACAGAGCTTGGTGGAGACTGAATGTGAAGATTTAGAGGGAGGAGGTACCTTGTGGGTGGAGCAGAGGCTTGTGTGTCTGTATGTGCTGGGGGCACCATTCAGAGATGAGGAACACAGGAGGAGGAGTGGGTTTGGAAGGTGGGATGATGAGGCAAACTTGGGATATGCCAGATTGGAGATATGGAAAGGATATGAACATGCACATAGCCAGGCACGGTTGAACTTAAGGATCAGGAATTCAAGTAAAATTCCCGTCTTTGTTGTAGCTACAGGATGGAGGCAATCACTCAGAGAAAGTGAGCAGAGTCAGGAGAGGAAGGGAATGGGGTAGATCACGAGAAAACGCCAAATCCTGAAAGCCTTGCTGAGGAGCCAGGACAGAACAAGGCAGGGGTTGGGGGGGGTGGTTACCATGATGAGAAGGGAGAAGATACGGGGGCAGAATGGATGTGGCAGTCACCAGAGGAGGGACTTCTTGAAGGCTGGCCTTAATCAGGCTGCCCAGGTGGGGCTCCTGTCCCTTGCCCAGTGACATTACACACACATCTCTGTAACCCTCATGTCTTACTGCTTTTTGGGAATCCACTGTTCACTTGACATTGAGAGACTTGTCTGTCTGTCCCAGTAGGCTGTCAGCTATCAGAGGGCAGGTAACATTAGGGGCCCTCTGGCTCAGTTTCCTGTCCAGGGCCAGAGACCCATAGCCACGCCCCCAGCAGATGATTATTCACCCTCTGCTTGGGCACTATTATGGCTAACTCCTACTTCATCTTCAAGCAAGCCACTTTACTGTAGAACCCAAAGCTCATGTTCCAGAGACTTCTTTTTGAGCCAGAAGTTACATTCCCAGAAAATGTACCCAGAGCTACAAATTCTTCACTTAGAGCTTCAAAAAAAGTCATTTCTATTCTCCCAGGTAGTTCTTGAACTATCTGGATATGCCTCTAAGAGTCCACCCAGACTTTCCCCCTATGGGTTGGCCATTTATGGTTCCTGTCTTCTCTGACCTGGTTCCCAAGTCTTTCACCCTCTTGGCCCTTCAGCTCATGCAACAAAGGGCTGAACTGACTCTGCTTCCTGAGCTGTGGGTGACTGGGCTGAACCTGTGCACCAAATGTGATCTAGGAAATCTGCGCTATGGTGTTACAGCAGAAAGGATGTGCTCTGTGAGCTGTGAACTGATTGTGGCTGAGCTCACCACAATTCCATTCCTAATGTCAAGTCTTAATCAGTTGTATTGATTCCTGTCTCCATTGCACTCCCACAAACTTCCATCCCGAGTTCCCTTAAGCCCCATCTCTCAGAGCAGCTGTTCCAAGAGTGCTCTCCAAACACAGATCCAAACGGCTAGCATCCTGCTCAAGGAGCTACAGGGATTCCCTGTCTGGCCAGATCCACCAGCTTGCCTCAGACTCTTACCTCCTTCCTTTGAGAAATCAGCTCTCAGAATAATATATATAAAGCAAATACTTGCTTTCCCCCAGAACGGAACTGCATCCTTCCACCTGCACCCCTGCCCCCCAGCTGTCACCTCTCAGCACTTTCCAAGCTCTAGCCAAGCCAACCTACTTCTCCTCCCTCTAGCACAGGGCTGGGTGGATATTCAGTTGGCTTCTGCTTTGCAGAGTCCCACTGGGAACTCTCTGAAGAGGGGAACTGCAAGGTTCCTGTACAAGGCTGAGTAGAAGTCAACTGGTGAAGATGGAAAAACCCACATACTACAACCCCTCCCCGCTGAGTAGGGAGCCTGATGTGGGGCTTAATCCCAGGACTCCGGGATCATGACCTGAGTTAAAAGCAGATGCCCAACTGACTGAGGCACCCAAGCACCCCATGCAATATTGTGTTATTAACTATAGTCGCCATGCTATACATTATATCCTTAGGACTTATTTATTTTGTAACTGGAAGTTTGTGCCTTTTAACCCCTTAACCCATTTTGTCCACCTCCTCCCCTAACAACCACTAATTTGTTCCCTGTATCTATGAACTTTGTTTGCTTTAAGTTCAGTGTATAAGTGAGATCTTACAGTATTTGTCTTTCTCTGACTTACACACTTAGCAAAATACCCTATAGGCCTACCCATGTTGTCACAGATGGTAAGACATCGTTCTTTTATATGGCTGAATAATATTCCATTATATATATGTGTGTGTGTGTGTGTGTGTGTGTGTGTGTGTGTGTGTATACCCTTAGGTTGTTTCCATGACTTGGCTCTTATAAATAATGCTGCAAGAAACACAGGGGTGTGTATACCTTTTTGAATTAAGTAGTTCCATGTCCTTCTAATAGATGCCCAGAAGTGGAATGACTGGATCACATGGTAACTCTATTTTTAATCTTTTGAGGACCCTCCACACTGTTTCCCCCAGTGGCTGCCCCAGTTTGCATTCCCACCAGTGTAAGTGTTTCCCTTTCCCCACACCTTTGTCAGCTTTTGTTATTTCTTGTCTTTTTTATTCTAGCCGTTCTAAGAGATGTGAAGTAACATCTCATTGTGGTTTCAGTTTGTATTTCCCTGGTGATGAGTGATGAGCATCGCCTCATGCACCTGTTGGCCATCTGAATGTCTTCTTTGGAAAAATGTGTATTAGGATCCTCTGCCCATTTTTTTAAAAAGATTTTATTTATTTGTTTATTTGTCAGAAAGAGAGAGAGAACACACAAGTAGTCAGAGAGGCAGGCAGAGGCGGAGAGAGAAGCAGGCTCTTTGCCGAGCAAGGAGCCCGATGTGGGACTCAATCCCAGGACCCTGGGATCACGACCTGAGCCGAAGGCAGCAGCCTAACCCACTGAGCCACCTAGGTATCCCTCCTCTGCCCATTTTTAAAGCAGATTTTTTTTATTGCTATTGAGTTGTATGAGTTCTCGGTATATTTTGAATATTCACTCCTTACCTGATATATGATTTATAAATATTTTCTCTCATCCAGTAGGCTGCTTTCTCATTTTGTTGCTCTCCTTTGCTGGGCAGTTCCCGCACAATTTTATCTCCTTTGTAGACCCAACTGAACCTCACTGTGTAAGATCTCTCACAGGGACAGGGGCTCAGGAAGACCCCCACATCCCATACTGAACAGCACTGATAACACTTGTGCTAAACCTTAGGTGCATCCCTGAGTCTCCAAGGTGGCTGATCGCCCAGAACAAAAGTGCTAAAGCCATGAGGGTCATGAAGTACATCGCAAAGAAAAATGGAAAACCTCTGCCTGCCTCCCTTCAGGTGAGCAAGCAGCTGAACTCTCAGATCAAGGAACAGTGACAGGAGGGTCTGAGAAAGCCATGCATTCTCAGTGGGGAGTCTCAGAAGGGGCTCACCATATGCAACAGGGTAGTTCTGTTGTACTAGGCTTCATGGTTCCTGGTCAAAAATTCTAAATCAATCCAAAACATAAAACTAAAAGGAAACCAAAAATCACTTAAAGGCAAATGAGAAGCTTCTACTGTGTGCAGCCCAAGGCTGTGGGGTCACTGGTACCAGGTACCCCGTGTCTGCCTTCCTCAGGTACTCATTGGCATGCTCAGGGAGGGGGCTTTTTCCAGGAGGGAAGAGTCTTCAGACAGAAATCATTTCTTGGAATTTTAAATATTTTTGATAGAAACTTGCTCCAGAATGATCTGTGCAGTCTCCTGCCTTCTGAAATAAAACATATCACGGGGATGTCCATCCATTTTCTCCACGTTTCGTGGTTTTGCCTTTGGAAGACCTCATTGTCTTTAGCTGAAGCCTTTTGATCCAACAGGGGCTGGGAAAGTGAAAATCAAGCTGATTAGAAAACCCCATCAAAGTAAGAGTAATCGTCTCTGTGCCAGGAGCTAAGATAGGTTACCTGTAAGCATTTATGATTTTCATGACTTTAGAGTGAGCATTTGGGGACTCGAAGCCCCCCCCTTTTTTTAAACTTCCTCTTCAGTTTCTGGGTGGTTGGGCAGATCCTCTTTACCCTGGATGACCAGCATAGCCCTCATTCTTAAGTTTTAGATCCTTTCAGAAATCTGTCAGGGACTAAAGCACGTGTGAATCACTGTCTGGCCAACGTGCAGAGTTCATTCACGTGAGCGTCGTGAGTCTGCTGAACGTTCTTGCCCTCGCTCCTCAGGCTTGCAGAGCGCCCCCCCCCCCCACACACACACCCATGTTGCTGTAGGAAAGAGTGGTTTTCGCAAAGGTTTCCTTCCCAAACCCTGGAGATTGAATCTCAACTCCACCACCTACTGTTTTCTTACAACACAGGGCTTCTCAAACTTTAATTAATATCTGTGCACAGGATGCCCCTGGGGATCTTGCAGAAATGCAGAGTGGTTCAGCCTGTCTGGACAGGTGCCCCGGGTCTCTCATTCTAACAAGCTCTAGGTGATATGGAGCTGCTTTGAGTGCCAAGATTCCGGAGCAGAGCCTCCTGGTCCGACAAAGAGCATGCCTGGTGCCATCAGCCCTCAGGACCCCTGAGCTGGGCTTCGTTCTGCCCCCTTGTGCTTGACCAGTGCCGCTGGACATACGCGCATGAGTGACCTAACTCCCCCTAGCCTAGCTTCCCCTTCTCTGGAAGGGGGTAAAAAAGATGGGAATGAACTTCCAGGATAGCCAAGGTTAAATGAGCTAGTAAGTGTGAAAGGCTCATTAGAAACCCTCAGCAGGTGTCAGGCAGGTACTGTCGTGATTCCTTGTCTTACCCAGGGACACCATCTTTCACCACACAAAGCTGTTCCTGCTGTTTTTATCCTAGAGCCTCAGACCTGATGAGGAAGTTGACGAGAAGCTGAATCCTTCATTTCTTGACTTGGTCAGAACCCCTCAGATAAGGAAACATACTTTGATCTTGATGTACAACTGGTAAGGAAAATTTTTTACTTTAAAATCCCTCCACTTTCTTTCTTTCTTTCTTTTTTTTATTTTAAATCCTTGTCATCCACATTAGGGGAGGAACAAAGAGAGCACTGTCACACAGCCTAGATCCAGTACAAGTATGGACAGTGGACAGCAAGGGATCTCATTTATAGCCATGTTTTCTGATACCACTTTTTGAGATAGGTGTTTGGAATCAGCTTACAGTCTCAAAGCATAGATAAGTATGTTCACAACTTTGGCATTGCCTTAGAATCTCCTGCGAGATTATAAAATATCAATGCCAGAACCCCAACCCTGGCCCCAGAAAAATACTGATTGAATTGGTCAAGGGAAGGGTCTAGGCACCAATATTTTGACATTCTCCAGGGGAGTCTGATATAGAGCCCAACCTGAGAACTACTGGTTCTATACCTATAATGAGTATAGATCTCTCCTTAATGCACAGGGCTAGCAAGGAAAGGGTCTTTTCCCTTTCTTGTCTATTGGAGAAAGAAGTAAACTTACGAAGGAGAAAAAACCACAAGGAATAATCCATGAGCTCTACAGTCCAATGGTGATGCGTGATCATTTCTGCTATCTGCAGGCTGTTCCTAGAGCTGTGAGCCGTTCACTCAGCACCAAGCCTTCTTCAGTGCAACTCACTTTCCTTTTAGTGTGTCCCAGGACTCATGCTGGCCACAAGAAGATTTGGAACCATAGACAGAAGCAAGGCTCCTTAGGAAGTCATTTAGCAACCTTATCAATACTACCTTTAAAATACAGCCAGGAAATTTGGCTTCGTACCCTTCTTTCCTTTTCTGAATAGTTGTGACTCTTGCCCAGCATCCTCTTATTTGTCATTATAGATAATGAACACTTCCAGTCAACAAAACACAACCAAAAAACACCATCAAAATGCTATGTATTGTGTTAGAGGAGAAATCAGCAAGAAGGGAAGTTGTACCCATTTGGGGATTTGGTACCCTGTTTGGGTCTCTGACTTCCTAAAATTTGAATTAAGTAGTCCATCCCTTTGATCCCAATTCCATTAGAAGACCACAAAGAAAGAAAGAATTAACAACCACTAATAACCTGAGACAGTTTTACCAACTAAGTCACTTTAGAAAGACATGTCTTCCTACTTTTCAATTTGGCCAGGGAGTGTTATCCTAATTGCTTCTCCTGTCCCAGTTCTGGGGACCCAGTCAGCCACTGTGGTGGGCCAGATCATGTAAAAGCAGTAGAATGAAGGGAAGAGCAATTAGAAGATGACACAGAAAGGTGATCCACGATCAACTCTTCTTTTTCCAGAAGCCTCTCCTTTTTGATGACTTACTTCTGGAGCTTGGCTTGATCTGAGCTTCTCCTCTTTGCTCAGGTTCACAAGCTCTGTTCTCTACCAAGGCCTCATCATGCACATGGGCCTTGCGGGAAGCAATATCTACTTGGACTTCTTCTACTCTGCCTTGGTGGAATTCCCAGCCGCCCTCCTCATCATCCTCACCATTGATCGTATAGGTCGTCGGTCTCCATGGGCTGCATCAAATATGGTGGCCGGGGCAGCCTGTCTCGCCTCGGTTTTCATCCCTAATGGTAAGTGTCAAGCCACGCTAGCGTCTTGTCTTCCAAGGCCCCAAGAAGAGGGGATGTCACAACCTTCTGATAGTAAGATGATGTAATTTATCATCCAAGTCAATTTGGAAAGAATGAACACAGTATCTGGGACCTTCCTGAGCAAACTCATATGGTCACCCTGTCTTTAAGAACAATTGTACCTAACAGTTGCCTACCGTAATATAATCACGATTGTTCTCTAATGTGCTATAACAAGAGACTAAGAGGACACATGCCATAGGCCATTGATCTGGCCCAGAACAGAGAGCATAGGCTTTGGGGTAGAGCAGGCCCAGGCTTAAAGTCTTATACCCACATTTCCCAGATACTATTTAGGTAACTCCCCTTGAGCTCCCTGCACCATCCTGCAGAACAAATAAGAAAGTTTAGGGAAATGTAACCAATGCACAATTGTTCAGTTCCTTTCTTCCCTTTTCAAATGCTTTCTCAATTAGGAGAAGCAAAAACTTGTACAACAGAATCCTATTGGCAACATGGAGCTTTCTTTCAACACTGTAGTTATTAGCATTTATTTAAAATATGCCCACATTTTGCTGTTTTGGGGGGATGGCCTGTATAAATTAGAGTTGGCCCAGCTTTGTAAACTGGTATAATCCAGTTGTCATTAATGACTGAGGTCTAAAGGGAGTGTTAGAATCTTGTCCAAGGTTACAACTAACAGAGATGGGAAATTTTGCTCAAAAGTCTTGAGTTTAGAGAAGAAGAATATTGCATTCTCATCCCATTCTGGAATGTGGACTCTCCCATCTGGAGTACTGTTTGCAGACCAGGGATTGTGTACAGTGTGTGTAATTGGTGCATTTTTGCCCTTCAGGTCTCCATTGGCTAAGAGTTATAGTTGCGTGTTTAGGTAGAATGGGGATTACAATGGCCTTCGAAATGGTTTGCCTGGTCAACGCAGAGCTTTACCCCACGTTCATCAGGTGAGCACATTTTCCTCAACATGAAGAAGATGGGTGGGGTGTTGGCTTATGGGCTAGAACTATGAGTGCCAGCAGATGGCACCTTCCTTTTCAAAACACAGGGCAAGAAAAACCAAAAACCAAACAAAACCACAGGGCGAGAGAGGGTAAGAACATTTAAAGGCAGTAGCCAGACCACATCTCACAGTTACAGGGTAGGGTCAAATACAGTCACTGTGAAGTGAGAACAGAAGATACTGGTTTCAAGAGAGGGATTACCAAATGGCCATGGGCAATAGTGATCAGAAACAGCACAAACAAGGGGCGCCTGGGTGGCACAGTAGGTTAAGCGTCTGCCTTTGCCTCAGGTCATGATCCCAGGATCCTGGGATCGAGCCCCATATCCCGTTCCCTGCTCAGCAAGGGGTTTGCTTCTCCCTCCCCCTTGGGCCCTCACTCTCTCCAGCTCATTCTGTCTCTCTAACTCACTCTTTCTCAAATAAATATTTTTTTTGAAAAAAAGAAAAGAAATAAAACAGTATGAACAGGACCAAAGAACAGTGAAGGGAAGACAGATGACCAAAGTAAAAAGTGAAAAATGCTCCCCCCATTAAAAATCTTCAAAAAAGACTAATATAAAACAAGTACAACAGAATATGAGTGGAATTATGAATCATGCACCATTTATGTGTGTTGAAAACAAGGTGAACACCATTTTTTCAGTTCACAGACACTTTAGCGATTTGGGGAGGATTTATTTGGGGGTGGGGTGGGAATAAGTACTCTATGGTGGAAGCTGGAAATTAAATCAGCTCCACGTATTTCAGGAATCTGGGTGTCCTTGTCTGTTCCTCCATGTGTGACATCGGTGGCATCGTCACACCGTTCCTGGTCTATCGGCTCACTGATGTCTGGCATGAGCTCCCGCTGGTGGTTTTTGGTGAGAAATCCTCAGACATATCTTTAAATGAAAACCTATTTTTCTAGGGACCTCCATTGTTCCATCTCAAAATAGGTATCACGCCTCCTGACAACTACTGAATGCCAGTTATAATAATTAGTACTTCTCTCATTGTTAGTAATAGCATAGGTAATACTAGTGGTGCCTACTAAGACTCAAGTATGGGAACCACTAGGACTCCCAGCCTCAGCGATACAAAGTTCAAGAAGGAGTGAGGTGGAAAGCTGTTTGCCTGAAGAACACCCTTAACTCTCTCCTCACCGATTTCCACCCCTGCTTGAGTCTCTTTGTCACAGAGCTCACTTTTTCTGCCTCCTTTATGGCCAAACATGGGAAAATACAAAACTTTTCACTTCATTACTTCAACAAAAAGTGGCTAAAACCAAGGGGGTTTTGAAAGACCACAATTAAGGAAATGCATCAGCATCACTGCACACCTCTGTTGGTGTTGGGTGCCCCTTCCCCAAATCCCTTGGGCAATTAGATTTAAGGAGGATTGGCACAGCCCTTTCCTCCAACCCTGAAGGAATGTACCAGTGTGGAGTCCTCCCTGTCCCCTCACTGTCCAGCCTGCAGCATGGACGGTGACAGGGACAAACCTAACTATCAGCAATTAATATGCAGAGGCCAATGTTGAACATAACATCTACAGACTGCGGAAGGTGTCTGGGAATCATGGACACTCCCATTTGTTCATGTCCATTCTTTTCCCCATAGCTGTGGACAATGGGACAGATCTTCCCTGTATGCCACACAGAGGGGTACGAAGGGGTGTCCAGAGTCATGCACACAGCATTCACCTCCTTGAGCTAGCCAGAAGGCCTCAACACACCCAGCTCAGCCTTCTTTTAGACCCACTGGGAGTGGGTCTAAACAGACATGAACAGTTTTCCTCAACCCTCACTTAATTTGGGGGGAGGGAAGACAAGACACTCTGTACACCGGGGGCACTTCCAGGTGGCTTTTCTCCTAATGCCACGCATTGGTCACACACAAGTACCTCTGCTCATTCCTCTTCTCAAGGGATGTGTGAGGAAGAAATTTTCCACTGCTGTAGTTGTGAAAGCAAATAAATGTTCCACACTGCTGATAAAACTCACCCTCAAAACAGACCCAGTGAATTCCTCTCGGCTGCGACTTAGTAACAGTAAAATGGCCAAAGTTGACAGAACACAAGCTCTTTATCCTGGCATAAGCATGACCCTGGCACCTTCCTCTCCCAACACTGGCTGACGGACCTGTGCAGAGCCTTCTTTCCATCTTGGAAAAATACCACAACACTTTCTGGATGCCTTCCTTCCAAGGAGGAAGGTGGAAGCGCCTCAATCTTGGCCACTCCCTTAGGTGAGCAGTGAGTGACCTACAGGTCAGTGAAATATTTGTGGAGAACAAACTTCATGTTTCTCCAAGGACCATTTAAAAATGCAATGCCAAGTCCAGACCTAGATGAGCCTCTGTGGAACCTCCCTTGGCATTCACCTTCCCCTGGAAAAGATCAAGGATTTTAACTCTATTTCACCCTTTCAAATAAACTCAAAGTCGACTTCCACTTTTATCAATGCTTATAGTTCTGTCTTCTTTTCTCACCAATCTGAGCAGCTAGCAAGAAACAAGACAAATACTTTTCCATGTTTACTCCTTTTCCATTCTTTGGCATACAATAATGGCGTACTGACTGTGGTCTTGAAATAACCAGAAGCAATTATCTAGAGCCTGAAAATCAAGAAATGAACAGTTGAAAGAGCACTGGGAAAAATGTTGATAAGAAAAACAAAGCTGGGAGCATCATGTTGCCTGATTTCAAGCTTTACTACAAAACTGTGATCACCAAGACAGCATGGTACTGGCACAAAAACAGGCACATAGACCAGTGGAACAGAGTAGAGAGCCCAGGTATGGACTGCAACTCTATGGTCAAATAATCTTCAACAAAGCAAGAAAAAATATCCAATGGAAAAAAGACAGTCTCTTCAATAAATGGTGCTGGGAAAATCAGACAGCTATGTATAGAAGAATAAAACTCAACCATTCTCTCACACCATACACAAAGATAAACTTGAAATGAATAAAAGACCTCAATGTGAGGGAGGAATCTATCAAAATCCTGGAGGAGAACATAGGCAGTAACCTCTTCGACATCAGCCACAGCAACTTCTTTCAAGATATGTCTCCAAAGGCAAAGGAAACAAAAGCAAAAATGAACTTTTGGGACTTCATCAAGATCAAAAGCTTCTGCACAGCAAAGGAAACAGTCAACAAAACAAAGAGGCAACCCATGGAATGGGAGAAGATATTCGCAAGTGACAGTACAAAGGGCTGATATCCAAGATCTATAAAAAAAAACTCCTCAAACTCAACACTTAAAAAACAGATAATCACATCAAATAATGAGCAGAAGACACAAACAGACACTTCTCCAGAAAAGACATACAAATGGCTAACAGACATATGAAAAAATGTTTATCATCATTAGCCATCAAGGATATTCAAATCAAAACCACACTGAGATACCACGTTATACCAGTTAGAATAGCCAAAATTAACAGGACAGTAAACAACAGTGTTGGAGAGGTTGTGGAGAAAGGGGAACTCTCTTACACTGTTGGTGGGAATGCAAGTTGGTGCAGCCTCTTTGGAAAACGGTGTGGAGATTCCTCAAAAAATTAAAAATAGAGCTACCCTATGACCCTGCAATTGCACTAATGGGTATTTACCCCGAAGATACAGATAGAGTGAAAAGAATGTCTATAGCAGCAATGGCCACAATCGCCAAACTGTGGAAAGAGTCAAGATGCCCTTCAGCAGGTGAATGGATAAAGAAGGTATGGTCCATATATACAATGGAGTATGATGCCTCCATCAGAAAGGATAAATACCCAACTTTTGTATCAACATGGATGGGACTAGAGGAGATTCTGCTGAGTGAAATAAGTCAAGCAGAGAGAGTCAATTATCATATGGTTTCACTTACTTGTAGAGCATTAGGAATAACATGGGGAACACTAGGAGAAGGAGAGAAGTGAGTTGGGGGAAATCGGAGGGGGAGACGAACCATGAGAGACTGTGGACTCTGAGAAACAAACTGAGGGTTTTGGAGGGGAGGGAGGTGGGAGTGAACCTGGTGGTGGGTATTAAGGAGGGCACATATGGCATGGAGCACTGGTACAGTACATAAACAATGAATCTTGGAACACTGAAAAAATAAAATTAAATTAATTTTTAAAAAAAGAAATACCCTGGTTAATGAGGCTTATCTTTGCAAATATAAAAAGCTGAAGAGATGATCATTTGATTAATCTATTATATATTCTCTTCCTAATTCACTCACTGCAGAGAATCAAAGCCAGCAAATACGTGTAAAATTTGCACAAGTTACAACCAAGTGAATCTTTACATGTTTGGAGAATCTCTGAAGGTGGCTACTTCATTCATAACTCTCTGACAAGGTCAGCCATGGAACAAGCAGGAGTGCATTTCAGTCTTAGTACAAGCGTGTGAGGTGGGAGTATCAACCCACTTTATGGCCACGAGCCTGGTGCCAAATTTCCCAGGGCTCTGAGACCAGTGAGTGCGGGCTCAGCGCTGGATGCCAGACACCCAGAGCTCCACCAGAGTCCTAAACCTCTCTCCGTGGCTTCGATTCCTGTCATTCTGTAAAGATGTAAAAACAGAGGCCAGTGTGCATTTTTTTGGAACTCCAAAACCAGTGAAAACTCCACATCTACTTCCTGCATTCTGTTACCACAAAACATAAAACATAACCTTAAAATCCCAAAACGTTAATGGGAATTTAAAGACACATAAACACTCGAATGTTTACTATGACTCCCCAGCATGTGCAAAAACATTACAGCTGCTGACAAAGGAAAAAGGAACAAAAGGAATTTCTCAAACACCTGAATCAGAACTGAAAGTATAGGCCTGGCTATGCTTTTTAAAAGCCATGATGCAGTGATATGTGATTCACGACTTCTGGGTTCTCTTCGTGCTCCAAGTTTCTGACTAATTCTCATTACTAAGTGCTTAATATTGGCAGGGTTATGTTCTTCCTTTCCTTAGAGTTGATTTTTTTTTTCTGAGTTATTTTCTAACTCCAATGTATCTTAATATTATGGCAATGTTTTCTAGCCTAGAATAACCTTGACTCGAAATGTTGAGTATTCCATCTCCCTATAAGGAATTATAATCCAACAGAGTTTAGAATCAGCAAAATATTTATAGGATAGTCAGAGATAAAAAAGAAATATGTAAGTATAGAAAATCACACACGCAAAATTTTTTTAAGAAGTTCCTATTATAAAGCCTGCATGTTTTAGTTCTTAATGTGATTTGCATTTGTTTGGCTTCCAGCGGTGATTGGCTTGGTTGCTGGGGGACTGGTGTTGCTGCTCCCGGAGACCAAAGGGAAGGCTTTGCCTGAGACTATTGACGAAGCTGAAAACATGCAGAGGTAGGGAGCTCAAATTTCTCCATACACATCTGGGCCAACTCTGTAGCCAGTTGGAAAAAAAATCTGAGGTTGAATTTATACCTCATACCATCCATTGAGATCAAGTCACATGAGATCAAAGACTGGAAAACACAAAGAAACAGTAAAATAATGAACATACCATAGAAAAATACTCGTGGTTTCATAGTGAGGAAGGTCTCTCTGTAAGTACAGAAAAAAAAAAAAATCCAGGACTAATTTTTTTAAAGATCTATAAGTTTGCTTTTATAAAAACAAAGAATTCTGCATTGAAAAACTAACAGAAGCTAAAAAAAAAATAATAATAACAACAAATGTGGAGAAAATATTTACTCCTCTATAAGGGACTAATTTTCTTAATATATAAGGAGCTCTAACAAATCTATAAGAGAACCACACAGAAGAAAAAATGGGTTAAGGATTTGAACATATAATTCAGTGAAAGGAAAATAAAAGCAGCTCTTAAAGATATGAAAATATGCTCACTTCCTACATAACAAGAGAAATATGAATGAACACCACTCCTCACAACTTAGATTGTTGAAGACCAAACCACTTGGTAACATTGTTTTGGGGAAGAATGTAAGGAAACAGTGTCCTACATTGCCTGTGGAAATACACAGTTGAAATCTCTATGATGGCAATATGACAAAAGTATAAAAAATGTGTATTTATTATTTTAAGATTTTTATTTATTTATTTGAGAGAGAGAGCGAGAAAGAGCACAAGCAGAGAGAGCTGCAGAGGGAGAGGGAGAAGCAGACCCCCTATGAGCAGGGAGCCTGATGCAAGGCTTGATCCCAGGACGCCAGGATCATGACCTGAACCAAAGGCAGACGCTTAATTGACTGAGCCACCCAGGTGCCCCTGTGTGTTCCTTTTTACCGAGCAATTCCACACTTCCATGAATTTACATGTACAAAATGACTTATGTACAAGATTAGTATTTAAGACAATTTTTTTATGTAACAAAAGATTGGAAACAACCTAAATGCACATTGATTAGGAGTCCAGTTATATAAATTATGGTCCAGTTAAATAAATTATGTCAGTAAAATACTCTACAGCCATTAAAAGAAGAAGGCAGCTTTATACACACTGATAAGGAAAGTCCCCTAAGATACATTGCTAATTTAAAAAAGGGGGACACCTGGGTGGCTCAGTCCGTTAAGCATCCGACTCGATCTCAGTTCAGATCTTGATCTTGGGGTCCTGAGTTCAAGCCTCACATTGGCCTCCATGCTGCGTATGGCAACTACTTGATAAATATATATATTTACCTGTATCTTTACCTGTGTCTTTGGAAGAATATGCAAGAACCAGAATGTTGGCTGTCTGTGGGTTCAGTGGCTGTAGAACACAGGTGGGAGGGATTTCCAGTGCATACCTTTTTCTACTTTCTGAATTTTGGACCATGGGAACCTATTCAAAAATTAAACTTAAGAAAGTCTAATGAAGAGAAACATAGGACACACTGCCCACAATTTCTTCATGCAGTATGCTTAGATGTTTTTACTCATTTTAATTGTATTCCAGTTCTGGCTTGCTGGGACCATGAACTGAACTGAATTTTATCCGTTCTACACAATGTTCCCATTTAACACACTCGGCGCCCATGCAGATGGGGCTGCAAAGAATAGCTGTGGTCTAAGGCTTTTCCTAGAACTTGGAGCTCAACATTACAAAAGGCCTTTGAGCTCAAGCCAGAGGTCACACATTGGTGACCCACAAGACATCAGGGCCTCAAGGGCTTTGCTTGACACATGGTATTTTTAAAGTGGGAAATTCCACATAAGCTGGATTTCCAGGATCTGTTAAAGAAAAAAAATTCCAGGGATTTGGTAACCCAGAGCAGGCATTTCCTCTTGCTGGTAGTTTGCAGGAGCTGCAGGGTTGGCTGGAGGCTTGGAAGGGCATGCCTGTTGGAGGAGGCACAGAGCCACATTCCCCGCTATCTCGTGCCTAGCACATTTATTATTTCTGCCTGGTGTATGCAGACATTTGAGCTTGAGATCCTTGATCTAGACCAACTGTCCCCCAGCCCCCCATATCTCTATCTCAGTGAACCTTCCCATGCACATGAGCCTCCCTTTGGACACAGACTGTACCGCATTTACTGTTGTATCCCTAGGACTCAGCACAGACCAGGTGCTTCCCATATAGCTGTGGACTAAATGCTGAGCTCCTTCCACAACATCTCTAATCGTGGGCTCTCCAGGCTTGTGCAGCAGCTCCAAGCTGGGAAGGCAGTAATGTGTTGTGAGGAGGAGCCTGGGCTGTAATCTGTTAGGCCAGGTCCTGACATTTCCCATCATGTGGTCTTAACTCTTCCAAGCCTTGATTTCTTCATCTGTAAATGGGGACAACAGTTTCTACTCATTGGATTTTTGTAATGAGATACATGCATGGAAAGTGCCTGGCTCTTTGGAAATGTCCAATAGCCATTCTATTATTCACGGAAGTTTCCACAGCTGCTTTGTAAAACAGGTGATTTTGTCCCTAGATGACTGAGTGGAAATCAAAGTTTAAAACATATTCTGAATGGTTTTGAGATAGGGAAGCATGGCTCCGTGAGAGACACAGACACATCTACTTGTAAGAATTTTCCCATCAGGCTGGTTCATCCGGTTTGGTAGATGTCACCAAGATTATTCCTGCTGTTGGTTTATATGCCTTCTCTTGGTGTGATCTACAGATACTTTTATGTGTAGATCTTCTCTGTGATCTACAGATACTTTTATGAAGATTTGTGCTGCTGCTGTTGTTGCTGTTGTTATTATGACTGCTGCTGTTGTTGCTATTATTGTTACTGTTGCTGCTGCTATTGTTGCTGTTCCTGTTGTTGCTGCTGCTATTGTTGCTGTTCCTGTTGTTGCTGTTGTTACTATTGCTGCTACTACTGCTGCTGTTGTTCCTTTTGTTGCTGCTGTCATTGCTGTTGTTCCTGTTATTACTATTATTGATGCCATTGTTCCTATTGTTGTTGTTCTTATTACTATTGTTGCTGCTATGGTTGTTACTATTGTTGCTGTTGCTATTGTTGCTGTTGTTGTTATTATTGTTACTGTTGCTGCTGCTGTTCTTACTGCTGCTATTCCTGTTGTTGCTGTGGTTACTATGGTTGTTGCTGCCATTGTTCCCGTTGCTGCTGCTATTGTCGCTGTTGTTGCTGTTATTGTTGTTGTTATGACTGCTGCTGTTGTTACTGTTACTATGACTGTTGCTGCTGCTATTGTTGCTTTTGTTGCTGTTGTTACTATGACTACTGTTGTTGCTATTGTTAATATGGCTGCTGTTGCTGCTGTTGTTACTGTTGTTGCTGCTGTTGTTACTATTGTTGCCGCTGCTGGTGTTGTTGCTGCTGTTGTTGCTATGGTTACTATTATTTTTGCCATGGTTCCTGTTATTACTACTACTGCTGCCATTATTCCTGTTGTTGTTATTGTTGTTACTATCATTACTGTTGTTCCTGTTATTGCTGCTGTTGTTGCTCTGTTTACTGTTGTTGTTACTGTCTTTGTTCCTATGGTTGCTGTTTTTGTTGCTATTGTTACTGTTGCTGCTGCTGTGGTTCCTATTGTTGTCACTATTGTTGCTGCCATGGTTCCTGTTATTACTATTATTGATGCCATCATTCCAGTTTTTATTGTTCTTGTTACTATTGTTGCTGCTATAGTTGTTGCTATGGTTACTATTGCTGCTGCTGCTGCTCCTGTTGTTGCTGTGGTTACAGTCATTGCTCCTGCTGCTGTTGCTATGGTTACTATTGTTGCTGTTGCTATTGTTGCTGTTTTTGCTATTATTGTTACTGTTGCTGCTGCTGCTGTTCCTGTTGTTGTTGTGGTGGTTACTATGGTTGCTGCTGCTATTGTTGCTGTTGTTGCTGCTATTGTTGCTGTTGTTGCTATGACTGCTGCTGTTGCTGTTGTTGGTGTTGTTACCATGACTGCTGTTGTTACTGTTGTTATCATGACTGCTGCTGTTGTTGCTCTTGTTACTGTTGCTGCTGGTGGAGTTGCTGTTGTTGTTACTGTTGCTGCTGGTGGTGTTGCTGTTGTCGTTATTGTTGTTGCTGTTCCTGTTGTTGCTATTATTGCCGTTGTTGCTGCTGTTGTTACTATTATTGCTGCTGGTGTTGTTGCTGCTGTTGTTGTTCCTATTATTCCTGTTGTTGCTGTTGTTACTATCATTGCTATTTTTCCTGTTGTTACTATTATTGCTGCTGTCATTGTTCCTATTGTTGCTGTTATTGTTGCTATTGTTACCATTGATGTTGTTGCTGCTGTTGTTGTTACTGTTGCTGCTGCTGCTATGGTTCCTGTTGTTGTCACTATTGTTGCTGGTGTGGTTCCTGTTATTATTATTACTATTGTTACTCTTATTTTTCTTATTGTTGTGGTTACTATTGTTGCTGCTGTTGTTGCCATTGTTACTATTGCTGCTGCTATTGTCACTGTTGTTACTATTGTTACTGCTGCTGTTCCTGTTTCTGGCATTATTTCTGTTGTTGCTGGTCTTCCTGTTGTAATTATTGTTTCTGTTGTTGCTGCTGCTGCTTTTGTTGTTACTGTTGTTGACATAGAGACCCTGGGAGCACCACCAACTTCCTTGGGCCCCTATATCTGGAGCCTGAGAGAACCCTAGCATTGCCAGGGGATTTGGGTGGGCTTCTGCTATACTCCCTGTCTCAGACTGGCCCAGAAGCTGAGACAGGACTAAGCACCCCCAGGTGGGGAAAATTTTGTGAGGAGCTGGGGAACATGGGAGCAGACCCACTCCAGATTTTAATACTATTATCAGGCAGAGCATGTCCAAAGGGCATGACAGGGAACAGCAGGATGAAGAAAGCAGCATTTCTATAATGAGTATCTGCAACTTCCTGGTATTCATAAAGATAAGATGATTGAGAAAATTTGCAATTTGGTTTTTCACTTGCCCAACTGTTGGAAAGTAAATAAGCATTGGTAAGAATAATTTCTAAAATTGTATTTGCAAAGACTGATGACAACAGTGTCTAGATTTTGCAATCATCATTTTTAACTGATATAAGATTAAATGTAGTCCTTATCCGCATCCTTTATTAGACAGAAAAGTGATCACTTTAAGTAAGGAACATAGGCCAGTCCCATTCCCAGAAGAGCATTTTTGGAACTGTCCCATCACATAAGTTACTCACCAAGCTCTGTCTATTTTCTTTTTAGGAATCACCACTCAGAACACTGCAATACTGTGCCTAGACAAAGTTTATATCCATTTGTTGTTCCATTTATTTCTTACCTCTTTATTTTGGTTTTCAGCTTCCTCACAATTTCTTTATCCCCTCTCCGTGTTTTTTATTACTGCAGACCAAGAAAAAATAAAGAAAAGATGATTTATCTCCAAGTCAAGAAACTAGACATTCCCTTAAACTAAGAAGAGAGACCACTCTTGCCATGGCCTTGCTGTGATGATACAAGTCCAGAACAGATGTTTCTCCAAGCACCACAGAGCCCATGGAACTCAACCTCACTCCCCTTTGAACCCTACTAACTTAGGTCTGTAGCCAAATAGAGTTTGTTGTCCTACTGTATTAAAATCTTCCCATAGGACCAGATCCTACCAAACCCTACCAGCTCACTCCGTTCCCAGCATTCCTAGGACAGTGCTATTGGGGTGCTGGGAATTGTTTTCATCTTTGTATTTCTTTATTTTATTCCTTTCTCCACAATGGTATCAAACCAAAACACATAGGGGAATTGTGGGCCAGGAAAACAAAATAGAAAAGATCTGAAAAACAATTAAGTGGAAACAGAGAGACCCTGTTTTCTTAAACATATAATACAGTTAAACAATATCAAGTTGTCTGGAACATTAGGAACTTTAAATTGGCCTTTCAGTGTCATGTGTGAAAAATTTTAAAATACATTCATTATTATCTGGGTTACACTTTAAAGGAACCTAAAGTGAAAGAATCAGAAATGCAACCTGAGTAATCACTAAATCTCCTCTATTTAGACTGAATGAGTACAAATGTGTGCTTTTTACAAAAAAATCTTGACAAGAGTTTGATAAAGAGCAGCATTGAAGTTGGCTTATTAAACCAACATGGTAATGTTTCACTCCGATAAAAATTGCTCTAAATTTGTGGTTTTAAAAATTATATTAATATTTTACCAAGATAATATAGTAAATAAAAGCTTTTAGAAGCTAAATACTTCAAAGCCTATAATGAAAAACAGAAGTTCCTTACTCTATTCTTCTTCTATCAATGCCTCTGGAATAATTTTCAACTATTTTAGCTGGATTTTTTTCCCTTGTGATTTATCTTTATATAGCTGAATAACTAGCTTTAAATTGACAGTGTTTGACTTCTTAGGTTTAAATATTACATTACCTATTGACCTTTTTATATAAAATACAAAGGTTTAGCTTTCTTCAGCTTTTTCCTCATCCCAACACACAACTTCTCTCTTCTCTTCAAACTCCGTGTTATCACATTTTTATTCAATCAAAAGTTGACATTCACGTTGTTATGACTGTGTAATTATTTTTAACAGCTGAGCCACATAGTATATAATGATCACCTCTACTCTTCCACAGCATTTTATTTCTCTTGGGCCTTGGTTTCTATTGCTTGTTTTCTATATATGCACCATCACTTTCCCCCCAATTCTCTGATAAAACAATAGATCTCTCAGTGCATTCAAACGCGTCTCTTTCTTCCAGGGAGCCCTCCCACTTTCTAAACACACTTGGAGCCTGCAGCCCTTCTGGTCCAGTGTAGCCTGGCTGATATTAAGGCTTACTGCCCAGCTGTTGTCCCGGGCTCTCCTTTCCCCACCTTCCTGAGCAATCCCAGTGCCTCTTTCTTGGGTGGGATTCCCTGTGTCATAGGTCAGAAGTCTTCCTCATTCTTGGTCTTCTCCCTCATTTTGAGGAAGCACATCTCCCAGTATTGTCCTGAGAAAGAACGCATACTTGTCCTAAATTCTCTTCTGTAATGCTAGGTGTTACAACTACACATTCCTGGCTCTTTGCCACCTGGCTTCTTATAATGCTCTACCAATGGGTAGCATCGGCCAGATAGGAAGATAGGAGCAAGAGAGGTCTTTCTTCCATATCATGAAGGTGTCTTGGGCAGCTGCAGTAACAGCTGCTGGCCACCTGAACCAAAGGAATGTGGGTTCCTGGTCACAGCTCGATGGTAGTGGGGCAGTTTTAACAGCAGTAGCAGCAGGAACATCATTGCCTCATTGACTTCAAGGCAAGAACAGGGTCTCAGGCCCCAGCCAGAAGCAATTGCTGTTTCCCGGTCTTATGTATACATCCTCTTCTCTCTCTAGCATAGCTTTCTCTCTTTTGCTCAACAATTTTGTAAATGAGTTCCTGTATCAAATTGTCTCTCTCTGAAATACCTACAGTGGTTTCTGTTTTGTTGATTCAGCATAAATTAATATTCTATTTGGGACCACACCCAGGAAATAGATATCCAAATAAGAAAATCTGTAGTTTGTTAAATGATGTGATTGGGATTGAACACATTGATGCCATAATTGCCAGGGAAAAGTGAGATACTGACAGTATCTATCTATGACATTCAGTCACAAAACAGTTACTTAAATTTAAGCTGTGACTGCCCGAAATGAAGAACCTATTTAAAGCAAGACTTTGGGAGGCCAAGGGACTGCTGGATTTCATCACCACACTGGAGTCTGTTGCCACAGAATTTCTGGGATAGAGCCAATTGCTTCTGACTCCAATGGAGAAATTTTAAAACAGAACGCAAAAACTTTAGGCTTTCAAGCGTCAAGTTGAGGCATTGCCAGAGAAATTGGGAGGTCCTTATGATGGCCTTTCAAGACCTTGAGTTTTGTAGAGGCAAGGCTGATACCACTGAAAAGCAGTCTTAAAATTTGAACTTATGTGTTAAGAATTATATCACAGATTAAATTCAGAGCCTAGACATGCCTCTGAAATGTGAATTGCAGAATGGATGGGAAGGAGTGGACTCCTGAGAAATGAAATAGAAACTGTAAGTGGACACAAATGAATCTGAAAATCTTGAGCCCCCAAGTCCCCTGAACCTCCTTGGCCAAAAGAAGCAGTGCTTCTCTTCCTTTCTGTAAAACAAAAACACTTTCCCTTGTTTGAAGAGTTTTAATGACCTCATCTTACACAGTTACCTTAAGAGGGCATGACAAGACACCTTAAGACCCACCCACCATATCGTGCCCAAATATGCCTAGAGTAGATTCCAGCATGTCTCAAGAGAAGAAATAAGAAGTTTGGGGAAGAGATACCTTAAAACACACAAAAAGAATTTCAAGATTTTGTAACATCGACAGAAATCTGGGGAGAAATTTAAGAATGAATTGTAGTGATACCAACCCCAGGAGAATGAAATAATGTTGAATCAGGTCCAATTTGTCAAGATGGGTGCACTAGTCTAAGATTCCAGGTTTAATGTACCAGGTGAAACACCTGGCATTAGTTCCCGTAGTTTTCAGGACAGAAACATTAGAAAAGATATAGAGGAGTATTTCCATAATTTGAAATAAGAAGGACTTCTTGGGCAAGAATAAGATCTAAGAGATGTAAAGTAAAAGACTGACTGATGTGACTATGCAAAACAAGACTAAACTAAATGATGCTGGCTGTGTAACTCACACACATCACATGAACACACACACACACACACACACACACACACACACATACACACACACATCCCAAAAGCAAATTCAATAGTCGAGTGACAGATTTGAAGAAATAGTTACTATATATATATATAAAATTTCCAAAAGGTTAATATCCAACAGAAATAAAGAGCTACTAAAAATCAATAAGAAAAAGACAGTAAGAGAAAAAATAATTGTTTAAGAGTACAAATAGTTATTTACAGACGTAACATAAAAAGGTTAATTAAGTTATCAAGAAAAAATGTGGAACCTCGTTGTTAACCAGGGAAATACAAATAACAACAAAATATTCTGCACTCAGATGAATCAATAAAATTAATATAAATTAATAAAGTCCATATCAAGTGTGGATGTGGGTGTGAAGACACTTATACATTGATTGATACATCCTTTAAGAAGGCACTTTGGTAGCATCCGTAATATCAGAAATGTATGTCTTTGAGAAACACAAATGTGCACACAGAAGCATCTCAGAGAAAGTTGTTCCGTCATTTCCTGATGACAGTCAAAATTGGAAATAACCAGTTTTTAAATATGAGGAATGCTCAAATAAACTATATATCTACTCATCAGTTAAAAAGGACTGAAAACAATTTATAGCTACTCTATGGAAAGACCCCCACAATGAAGGACATTTGGAATAATAATACAGAAATACTGACCTAGGAAGAGGAAGTCCCAGACTGCACAGTGCATAAGGAGAGATTTTTTTTTTTTTTTAGAATTTATTTATTTGTCAGAGACAGAGCATAAAGCAGGGAAAGTGGCAGGCAGAGGGAGAAGCAGGCCCCATGCTGAGCAAGAAGTCCAATGTGAGACTTGATACCAGAACCCTGGGATCGTGACCTGAGCCTAAGGCAGATGCTTAACCAACTGAACCACCCAGGCATCCCAAGGAAAGGTTTATTTCTGTTGGATATAAATTCTTACATTTTTATGTTTTCTTACACATGTTCATGACATATGTTCATGCCATTTTTTAAAATAAATTATTAACTCTGGAAAACACTTTGACACTTCCTTAAAAAGTTAAATATGCAATTACCCTTTGATCCAGCAATTGCACACCCGGCCGTTTATCCTAGAGGTAGGAATGTATGTCTATACAAAATCTTATACACAATTTTTCATGGCAGCTTTACGTATAATAGCCAAAATCTGGAAATAACCAAAACATTCCTCAATGAGTGAATGGTTAAACAAACCGTGGTATATCCATACTGAGGAATACGATTCAGTAAGAAAAAGGAACAAATTAATGACACACAACTTGAATGGATCTCAGGGGTATTATGTAGAGTGATAAAAGCCAATCTCACAAGGTCATTCATGAAAGGAAAAATATCTACAGAGATGGAAAATGATTACAGCAGTGGTTACATAAGTCTGCACATGTTATAAAATGCCAGAGAGCTATACTCACATATTGTACCAACATTAATTTCTTGGTCTCAATAGTATACTGTAATTATGTAAGATGTAACCACTGGGAGAAACTAGGTGAAGGGGACCCAGGACTTCTCTGTACAATCTTTTCAACTTTTTGTGACTCTATAATTATTTCAAAATAAAGTTTCAAAAACAGATCATGAAAATTACAGTATTTTTAAAAATTAAATGCCATGGGGGCTTAGAAGAGACCATTTCTTTAGAGCAATGTTTCTTAAAGTTATTGATTAAAGTGCTTTTGAAATCTGAAGAAAATTATGATTCCTCTGTATAGAAAAATACATACCCAAAATCTGCATACAGTCTCCCAGATTTTCCTGATCTCTCTTTCAGTTCGGAATGCTTGCTATAGATACTAGGTTCAGCAAACTACAGTCCATAGGCCAAATCCAGACTGCTGCTTGTTTTCTAAGTAAAGTTTTATTGACATACAGCCAAGCCCATTCATTCTAGACTGTCTACAGCTGTTTCATAATCACAGCAACAGAGTGAATAGTTTCATATTCTCTGGCCCACAGATCTTAAAATATTGACTACCCAGCCCTTCATGGAGAAAATTTGGTGACCTCTGGGTAGAACTCCACCTCTAGAAGCCAGAAGGAGTATTGTAATAAAAAAATAATAAGAGCACAGAGAAGGCGATACTCTTA